TCTCCCCGCAGCAGTCGGCAGATAAAAGGTCCGTCCCGCCCTCCGCTACCTCACTCACCCCCCCCCCCCCCCCCCCTCCAGTCCAATTATATCAGTAATTACTTGTCACAGGCACTCTCGTTTTATTAAGCCTTATTCCGGTCCTTTGGAGAATTACATTTGGGAAAACATGATCATAAATGGTAACCCTGGCCAAAAAGAGAGCAAATTAGATCTCTGAATTGGATCCTGCCAGCTCGGTTGTCGTGAAAGGGGGCCTGTAGGGTTAATGTCTGCCACTTGGTGGTGCTGTTGCACCACGGTAGAGCTAAAGGTGCTAAGATGGTAAATCACACCTGGCACACAAGCGCAGCATTGAGATATTCCTTAAGGATTCTTTGCGAATATCTTTTAGTTGTGCAAATATTGTTCACCTCGTTCACAACTAACATAAGGTGTACAATCTTCATTATATACAGGTTACCTTGTTCAGTTTATTCACCCTTTTGCACATAATACAAAATATGAAATGTACTTTTTCTCCAAGGCACCTCAGTGTCATTAAGAGACTTTTAATGGCGACAGAAGGTGATACACAGATGGCGCCAAGACTAACACGTTATATCTGAAGGTTGTGGAATCCGCCGAGCTCATCTCGCCGTTTCTTGTACTTGCATTCATTGCGTCCTCCATATTGTTTTAGCATGCGTCAACGTCCCCATCGCGTCTGACTGACGGAGGAGACGGCAGGGAATGATAAATGGCTGAAAGGGTAACATTCTTCCCAGGGACAAGAAGTCCCCACCTCCTCCTCGCATCCCTCCGTCGCCCTGCAGAGGAGAGGTCGAATGAGGCAAAGGCCAACGCTTTGTCTTTATTAACCACGCGTCTGTCTCAGCCCTGCCTCTCCGCAGGCGCGCACACACGCCCGCACGCAGTCACGCCCGCATGCAGTCAACGCCCGCACGCAGTGAATAGACGCTGCGGAGAGGGGGGGCACATGCAAACCGGCATCTGTGCGCCGATTTGTGCATCACCGTGGGTGGGGGGGGCTGATCGCAACAGGCCAGGGCTGGAGAGAAGCGCGCCAATCCCCCCTGGGGGAGGCCGCTAGCCGCTAGTCGGTGTTTCCACGCTGTCGCGGGATAAATGGGAAATCAAGTCGCCAGGTTGGCAGCTGTGCCCGTCCGCCTGCCTTCCTGGCCGCCTGAAGGGGCGACACGGGGATACGGAGCATGAATATTCATGCCCATCTTGAGGAGCTGCAGGCACCCCATGAGTTTGTTTACATATGAGATGATGAGATATGAATTATATATGATAGTTATATTATAGTATGATAGTTATATAGTATGATATATGATTTCCATGTGGGATGGCGTGGTTTCTTTTTTCTTATACCTCTCTTGTGTGTGTGTGTGTGTGTGTGTGTGTGTGTGTGTGTGTGTGTGTGTGTGTGTTCATTAACTTTTCACCTGTTGCTCAGGTGCGTTGGCCCGAGTTCGACCGTCAAACCGAGCTTTCTCCCTAATTGGCCGCGCTAACGCATTAAATCAAACAGCCATTTGCTCATTAGCTCACTGTAATTAGCTTCCACGGGCCACATTATGTCATGTTGTGGCGTTGTTTGCCTGTTGCTCTGTGGAGGGGGAACACGGGTTAGAGTCATGTACAGCAGCAATAACACCAGTATCATCGTTCCTCTGTACGCTTGTTTATATTATCGCAGCGTTTTCCTTAAAGTGTAAGTGGACCCCCTGTTTCAGATCGAATTCGAAACACTATGAGATTTTTAAGCAAGTACACGTCATCGAGTATGAGCGTTATAATGAGCGATTTTGTATATGTGGCGTTATAGGCTACTGCAAGTGTCCGAGAAGCTTAACCCTCTCTCGGACACAGCCGACAACACACACACACACACACACACACACAGGCGTGAGCGTATCCTCTGGGCGTCGACGTCACTAACAGAACAGCAGAGTACAACGTCCAAAAACCGGTTGATGGAGACAAAACATGCTCTGAACAACGGTATTATTTAAGACTACTTTGTTCACAACCATAGAAGACATACTGACCCGTTTCAAACAAAACTCACTGGTAATTTGCTCATGACGACCCTCCACTTCTGTTTCATCTTCCCCATGCTATCAGATGTGCTGAGACTTTAAGCGGCTTCTAAAAACCCGTTTTTATAGGCAAGCCATTCTGCAGATCTCCATCCCTGTCTTTCCTTTTGGTTTGTTTTAGTTTGGTCTGTCTCCCATTGTGCTGTGTTTTATATGATTTTATCTGTTTTGTCTGTTCGTCTGTTGTATATTTATTTTGACCGAATGTACTTATTCATTTATATGTTTCTTATTTTATAGCTTTACTTTCTTGTGTCCTGCAGGTGGCGTGTCTGATCCGGGTGCCCACAGAGGTGGTGAAGCAGAGGACCCAGGCCTCCCCCTCCTCCACCACCTACCAGATGCTGCTGGCCACGCTGCGGGAAGAGGTAGAGTCCCATCTGCTGTCTGTCTGTTTGTCTCTGTCTCCGTCTCTGTCTGTCTGTGTGCACACCTCATGCCTTATGGTTTTGTGGTAATGTAGAGCATTTGATAAGGCTCAGTGGAGTTTGAAAGACCCACTTTGGCACAACATCATTCATAATAATAATAATAATAATAATTAATTGCATTGATATAGCACTGTTCAAGACACCCAAAGCGCTTTACATCAGTTGGTGTGTGTGTGTGTGTGTGTGTGTGTGTGTGTGTGTGTGTGTGTGTGTGTGTGTGTGTGTGGGGGGGGGGGGGGGTTATGACACCTCATCCACGACCAGTGGCCCACTGCTAACATAATTCTGTGTGTTTGCCTTCCTCTCCCCAGGGGGTCAGAGGCTTGTATCGAGGGTACAGAAGCACGGTGCTCCGAGAGGTATGGATCCTGTCACGCTCATTCATTCACACTATTCTTCTCCACTCGTTTTACCCTTTTTCCGTTGTTTTTTTCCCCGTGCGTGGTGGACCTTCTCGCCGCTCGCAGCCAGTCACCCGAATCCACACCATATTTCTGCGTGGTGCACTACAGCGATCAGACACCCAACACAACTGGCAACAAAAAAACAGTGGAGTAACTTAAGTTTGTGCCTCTGAGACGGCGGTAACCGGCGCGCGTTCAGCGCCGTTCAATATCACACACTGATAAAACAATGGCTGGACTCCTGCAAGACTAAGCAGTGGCTTCTTCTAATAGACCGGAGAAATATCGAGGCTTTCCGCTGCTCTGATTAGACGCAATTTAATTTCTCCCGGGCTCTGTTGGGGTTGCAAATATTGATGTATGGGTCTCTCTTTCTTCCCTCCACTTTCATCTCATTCAATTACTTGTGAAACACCAGCTCCCCTCCTATTGCAAGTACAGCTGATTAATTAATGCAATTAGTGGCGTTATAAATGCAAAACAAAACGTGGATAAATGAGCATTGAGCCGCTCCCGCTTGATGGGCGCTCAGCGTTTGGTAATGAAGCTGCCGCTCCGGGCCTTTGATTCATGGCGTTCCGTTTAATCGCACCTGCACTGCATGGTAATGCTGATGGATACCGAGTCTGGACCGCAAGCACCCCGCCACCCCGCCACTCACCTCGCCGTCCTTACCGCCCCCCTCGCCGTCCTTACCGCCCCCCCCCCCCCCCCACACACACACCCAAACACACACCCTGCCACCGCCAATACAATAGTTACAATAGTTCCATAATACAATCGCCAAGGATGAAGAAGAACGGCGAAGAAAAGTGGGAAGGTGTGTTTGTGTGTGTGTGTGTGTGTGAAGGTGACACTCTTTTCTGTGGCGGGTAGTGATGTTGTTGGTAAGAGGTGTGTGTGTGTGTGTGTGTGTGTGTGTGTGTGTGTGTGTATGTGTAATCTAGTTCCCTACCACAGCGCTAGGCTGTACTTATTTTCTGCCTCACTAAATCGATGTTATTCACGCAAATTCCATCTGGACAGCCGGTGGGTGGGGGAAAAAAAAGGGGGGGGACAACAAGACACTGTGATTTCTCTGAGGGTTTGTGAATAAATGAATACATTTGGAGGCTGGGCCACCGTTAGCGTGCATACTAACTGCGTGAGATGAAACGCAAACGGCGAGGCGGGGGATTCTGGGGGGGCTGCGCCGATCCTGCGCTGTGATTGGCTTTGACGTGTGTCAGGGCGGTAATTCATTTTCTCGCGGCGGCCCGGCATCGCCCGCCCATCTCCCCTTCTTCAGCCGGGCGACCCTGTCAAGATACGTTTGTTTATGTGCTGTGTGGTTCGCCGCTGCCGTCCCCCCCCCCCCCCCCCCCCCCAACCGCCCCCACACACACACACACAAACACACACACGGCAGTTGCCCCTAATGGTGATCCTTGGTCACGCTGTATAGCTATTAGACGGCCTTCAGAAGCCATCTCTGATAGGCGTGACGTCACACCAGCACAGCGTGGGAGAGGATACTGAAGGAGGCAGTTCCATCTTGGGATTGGTCGATATACGATTTTATCGCGGGTCGTGATACAAAAAACACTCACAATTAGTTGATCGTGGTGAATTTCCATTAAAAGGCATCTAGCTCGCTCACATACAGTCCTGTATTGATCTCCTGAATTATTTTGAATTCGCCACAAGGGGGAGCCCGCATCTTTCCAAAATCCTAAGCCTGTCGCCACGACTGAAGGCTCGGACTCGGCGCCCGTTTGGTTTTCACTGTGAAGGATGTTGTCCTCTGTCCAATAAAACTATTTGTTTCTTAACAAAATGTAAGGTAAAGTGATTCCAGTATGTTTTAGTGCCATTTTAAGAGTTTTGAGCATATTTTGATGATTATCGTGAAAATATCTTGTCACGATTATCCTGTCCAAAACAATTGCGATTCACGATATATCATGAATCACAGGCAATAATTAGAAAATAATTAGTATAGTATATGCCATTTGGTGGACGCTTTTATCCGAAGCGTCTTACAATACCGTGAGTGCATACATTTTTAGCACGGGTGGTCCCAGTGGGACTTGAACCCTTAACCCTGGCAACGTTGATGCCATGCACTACCGATTGAGCGAGTCAGGACCACCAATAGTGTTATTTATCATCAATATGATTGTTTCTGGTATTGTGTTTTAATGAAGTGAAGATATTGCATTATCATGATACCCAGTTTTCTAGTCTAAATTCGTTAGGATGAAAAGATATACCCTTAAAATGATCAAATGGTTTTAATGCCAGGGAGAAAGGAAAACTAGTTTAGGTCAGAAACGTCCATAAACTTCAATGTAATGACACTCAGTTAGACGGTTTAAAATGGTTGTGCAGTGTGTGTGTGTGTGTGTGTGTGTGTGTGTGTGTGTGTGTGTGTGTGTGTGTGTGTGTGGTTGACGGCTGGTTTCAGCAGCCGCACCTGACCCAGTCAGACCGATTAGACTCTGGGGCCGGGCGGGGCTGCACACCTGTGGTGCAGAGCAATCAAGGCACACAGGATAAACCAGCTCTCACCACACACACGCAGGGACAGGGCCTCTGTCATGACAGCATGTACCATCTGCTCTGGCTGTACCATTCTGCCAACTCTCCATTAAACTGGTTCGTACAACATCTACCCGTGTCCTGTGTGTCGGAGGAGCCCAGCGAAGCCACTCAGGTGGCGTGTGGTACGGTCGACTGCCACAGCCGTATTTTGAATGTGTAAGCGTATCGTTGGATGTTTATCGATATTGTGTACAATTTCCCATCGTCTTCGTGATACCGGCAGTGTGCCATCTTGGCTGGGAAGAGCATCAAATGAATGATCTTATTATTGAATAAATTAAACTGAAATGATTAAACTGGTGTGAGAGAAACTCACCTGGCTCTAAATGAAAAGCGGAAGGCTCAGTATTGCCACCGATGCTCCTAGTTTACATGAAGAACAAATGTTAACCGGCTCTTCTTCCTGTAGTTTTTCTTCTCCTTGTGAGTTTGCTGCCTCCCCAGGTGACCTCCGTTGTTCCCCAGTGTAATGGGATTTCACTCTTTCATCCTCTCATTATGAATAGTTGCATGTTTGACCACTAGATGGCATCCAAGGCTTAGCTGTAGACATCAGACCCTGCTAGATTTAAATGATTTGCGTCTCTCTTTTCTCTCTCCTCTCTCCTCTCTCCGCTCACTCACACCATACTTGGCTTTTTTTATATTTATGAGCAGCAATCACCTCTGTGGAAATGAAAGCTTTTAGTTATTTATTTTGTGATGGAGTGTCTTATATTTTTGTGCTCTAAAACAGTCAGGTAATCTGGGCTGTGATCTCAACAGCTTGAGTAATGAGCTGCAGTCAGGTTATTAGATAGCAATTTGCTGATTTGTGGGGAGCGAGGTGTTAGGGAGCGGCTGCTGTAAGTGACGCTGACTCACTCCGACACCTGTGATCGCTCTGATTGGCTGGAAGGGAAATCACCCCACTCCTGCTCGCTTCTGAGCGTCCTCTGGTCCACATTTGCTCTGTTTCTCGAAGTTTCTTCCCCATTTATACTGTCTCAGAACCACTCCATTATTACAGCACCGTTCATTTCCTACTCTTTAAAGGAGAAAAGCTTTGAAAGAGGAGAAAGCTCGCGCAAATTGAGATCATTCGGACAGTGGGATGATGTCATGTGTTGTTGTGGCATTTTATTTCTTCTCGTTCAGCATTTCTTCACTTGTCGATGCATCTGAATCATGTTTTTAAAGCAGCCCGTCTAACTGAGGGTCATTACATTGAAGTTTATGGAAGTTTCTGACCTAAGCCAGTTTTCGTTTCTTCACTTGTCGATGCATGTGAATCATGTTTTTAAAGCAGCCCCTCCTTCCCAGCCTCCCTCCCTCCCTGTACTAATCACACTGGACTTCCTGGCAAACTGACGTACGTAACCTCGATCTGGCAACCGCACAGACCTTATGACAGACCTCTGTCTTGGCCCCGCAGCGACCAACGCCGACGGCTCTCATTCTCTCTCTCTGCTTTTATCCCTTTTATTTTCTATCAGCGTAGGATGGGAAGTTAACGACTCCTCCTGACACGACTAGCGCTCGTCACATCCGTCGCCTACTGTTGCTATTATTGTCCTCGTGAAAGGTCTCGGTTTCCTTCTCTTTGTTTCCGTCTCTGCGTCTTTCCGTATTTTTCCCAAGTTTTCTCTCTGACTCATGCGCACACATTATGTGTTTCTACGAATTGAGACCAGGGTCAATTCCTTCTGCGTTCTCCTGTTGTTTACCTACCACCTACTTTGGCCTGGTTACACCAGATTCTCCAGCTTAAAGGTGTGTGTGTGTGTGTGTGAGTGAGTGATTTCTCATAGGGCCATGACCTCAGACACAACAGGGACCATTTTGTGAAAGGCCGAGCAACTCAGCACATCGTTGCATCATTATTATTTTTTTATGTCTGAAAAGCGCTCAGTGCGCGCGCCAAAACACGGGGATTTAGTTTATCTCCAATGTCAACCGTCAGAGTCGAGCAGCATTTCATATTTTGGGATGGCATCCATGTTGAGCTGTGTGACGCATGCTGTAGCTGGGAGGCGTGTATGGAATCGCTCTCATATCCTGCCTGGGTGACCTGATCCACAGCGGGTCATGTTGAGGGAGAGAGACAAACACAGAAAGTAAGAATTGGAGTGAGTGAGTGAGTGAGTGAGTGAGTGAGTGAGTGAGTGAGTGAGTGAGTGAGTGAGTGAGTGAGAGAGAGAGAGAGAGAGAGAGAGAGAGAGAGAGAGAGAGAGAGAGAGAGAGAGAGAGAGAGAGAGAGAGAGAGAGAGAGAGAGAGAGAGAGAGAGAGAGAGAGAGAGAGAGAGAGAGAGAGAGAGAGAGAGATTATTTTGCTTTGCATATGCATGGTGAGGGTTCATGAGGGGCGATGCTGTGTATCAACCTGGAGGTCCCTCCCGGGGGTCTCTAAGTGAACTAACAACTTGATTATGTTGAAAACGCACAAAAAGATTTGCGGAAAAATCTTTTTTTGTTTCTTCTCTTCGTCTGCCATTGCTGGCTTCGTGTGAATTCAAGGGGATTGTTTTGACATGTGTTACTGGAACTTCCTGATCGGCTTCAGTTGTGATCAATAGAGTCGAGGCCCCTGGACCACCTGTTGACCTGCGGAAGTTTGACCCCTGACCTCACCATGACATGGGCTGACACTGCAGCCTGTGTGTGCATGTGTGTGTGTGTGTGTGTGTGTGTGTTTGTGTGTGTGTGTGTGTTTTTTAGGGATGAACAATTACTCAAAATATCAAAATCGCAGGAGCTGCAATTTTTTGATAAAGGTAAAATGTGTAAATGTAACACAGCATTATAAATGAAGTACTGTAGTGCTGCAGGGATGCCCTGGCCTACACATGTTACCTCCAGATGTAAGAACATGTTTGTTTGGTACAGACCCCCAAAAATGTCACATCATGATTTCAATAGATTTCTCAGCGAAAATACAAAAAGATCATTCCCACAAATAATGAATCATATGGCAATCGCAATATCCGTCAAGCTAATCTCAATACGATTTTGTTTTTTACCATATCGTATCATATCAGCTCTAGGGTGTGCGCGCATTTGTTTTATAATATGACACCGAGAAGCAGAAAAAGACAACCCTGGCTATGAGAAGGGTGTTAGTCTGCTGCTGCTGGGAATGCGTTGGCCATCTGGGTTCGTTGTGTCAGCACATATTTAGAGCCAACGCTATCCAGCCGAACGTGTGTGTTCCCCTCACGCCAGGTCAGATCGTCGAGACTTGAGTTATCAGTGTCTCAGTCCAAATGGCCGTGCGTGATGTCCTTTGAGTTTTAATTCACCGATTATGCTATTCCTCATGTTGTCAACGCTGTGTGTGTGTGTGTGTGTGTGTGTGTGTGTGTGTGTGTGTGTGTGTGTGTGTGGCTACACAGAGTGAGAGGGACGCTGAATCCTCATTTCATGGAAATCCTTCGGTTTCTATCCGTCGGACCTGTTTGACTTATGGCTCTCCTTTGTGTGCAGTGGGGCCCATTTGGCGCGTTTTTAGAGCAAGCCGACCTTCTTCACAGAGGAGAATGCCTTTCCTTGTTGGTTTTTGCGTTTCGCGGTGTGGTTTTGAAGACTTTGCCTTCTACTGTCCCTGGAAGGCCGATATTGCTTTACCACACGCGTCACAGCAGGGGTGAACGGCTCTCTCCCACCGCCACCACAGCATGAAGGATGGATGGGCTCCACCCGCCACAAAGGCCGGGGGCCGTGCCTGTCGTTCACATCAGGGGAGGCTGTGAGAGGCTGTGTGTCCGTGTGTCTGTCTTCCCCTCCACGCCTAACACCGTACAGTATGTCCACAGAGGAAGGCTTTATCCTCTTACACACACTCCCTCAGGGACGAGGCAGGTGCTCTCTCTCTCTCTCTCTCTCTCTCTCTCTCTCTCTCCAGCTTTCTCTACAGATGTGCAGAGTAAACTCTGCCGACCTCCATAGAATCAACAATAATGTTTCTCGATTACTTACACCGGAGCGCTGCTGGCGGCCGCTGAACCGCCATCAACTTCTGAGTCCAAAATGGCCGTAGTAGTTGGGATGACCGGGATGTTGAGCATCGACACACTGACTGACGTGGTCCGCAGAGCTGTGAATTCAGCTTGACGCAACACACACGCACACTAGGGCTGGGCGATGTGGGGAAAAAAAAGTATTATCCCGATAATTACCGGGAATTGTACACGCCGTTGATAAAATCACGATAAGCTTATGAATTAAAAATGCCATTCTTACCAGAGGGTCGTTGGTTCAGTGTTGAGCTGTGCCACTGTGGGCCTGCTGGTTATGCTTGCTTCCCATAATGTTCTGCACATTTGCTTCAATCAGAGCAGAAAACCACCAGCCCGCCACATGTTTCTAATAACACACACACCCACACACCCATGTGTGTGTGTGTGTGTGGTTGGGGTGTTAGGTTGAGCAGCGAGGGTGGAAATTATATTTTTAGAAAAGTATATTTGCGTGTGAGTATCAGAATTGTTGTACGCCCACAGCCCCAACATTGGAAATACAAACAATCGTTATGCTGCACATGGCCACACACACCCTGTATGTCTGCTTT